TTTTTTTAAATGGAAGGGAAACACTATAAATTCCTTAAGGGCTTTCACCACGTCAAGATAAAAACAGGAGCCCAGCCAGCCGTGGCTCAGTGGTTGAGTATCAACCTATGATCCAGGAGATTGGGGTTCGATTCCAGGTCAGGACGCGTGCCCTGGGTTGCGGGCTCGAGCCCCAGTAGGGGGCATGCAGGAGCAGCCGATCGATGACTCTCTCATCATTGATGTTTCTATCTCTCTCTCTCCCTCTCCCTTTCTCCCCTCCTGAAATCAGTAAAGATATATTTTAAAAAATAAATAAATAAAGACAGGAAAACTGCCTCTATCCACAACAGTGTAAATGGCATTTCAGGGCACACAAAAAGCTAGTGACTGTTCTGAAGTATGCCATGGTCAGCTCCAGGCATTGCTTGTGTTTGTAGTAGTCCTCATAAAGAACAACTTCTGTTTCAGCAGATTCTTTTTAACCTTGCTCTATTAGCTTAGGTGTAGGCAGAGTTCATTTTGAATCTGAAAATACTTTAGAAAATATACCCTCAGGGTGAAGGGGAAAAAAAGAAAGAAATGTTGATTTTCCTGTCNGATACTTTTGTCCTGTATACTGAAGAATCCCCACCTCCTTGGAGAGAAGCTGATACTAGTATGTGCTCAGCAAATACCTGTTTTACTGAACTTGATAATTTACATCACGATGTGCTGTAAACCTGAAATTAGAGGCAAAGCTTGCAGAAAGGGTAGAATTCAGAATGGGTGTTTGGTGGATACAATAGTAAAGAGTTTGGATCCCAAAAAATAAAAACAAAAAGCAACAACAACAAAGAGGTTGGATCTCGTCTCCTTCCTGCAATTTAGGGGAGTTGGTTTGGCTTCTGGATATTTAGGTTTCCTTCCTACCTGGAGCGATTATGCCAATTAGGGGACAGTAGAGCCACAAATTGGCTCAGTTCTTCCCTCCCTTTGCTTCTTGCAAACTGTCCTTTCCTCCCCTTCAAGACTGTAGACCCAATGGACAATCAAAAAGCAGCTGATAAATTCGTAGGGTCATGAATTCTGCTTACACTCCTTCAAACAACCTTAGCTCTCAGATAACACCCGCTCCACTTGTCCTAATGTATATAGTGCTTAATCTCATCTCCTGACAGATTGATTCAATTCTGAGCAGTTGTGAGAGAAAAAAAAAAAAAGTGAATTTGCCCTCCCTGCAGGCTTTTCTGGCAGCGTTTTGTCTGTGAAACTAAGAGGCTGTAGCTGCTTTAGAAAAGGGAAGGAGGATGAGCTAAAAAAAAAACAACACACCCCAACCACCAAAAAAGCCAAAATCGGAATGGGTTTGGAAAAGGATGTGGTTTTAGAAGAGGGCAGGCAGAGGGAGCTGCCGCGTGAGGGGGGCTGAATTTGATGTTACAAAATTCCGAAAGGTCACGGGATCCTCTGGGGGCGGTTCAGGGGAAGGGCTGGGGGCTCGGCTCCCCTCTTGGCTCCACCCTTTGCAGGGATTACAAATAGGAGCCTGTGCCTCTTAACTGACTGTGGGCTGAAGGTGAGCTGCAGAGCGCTACTGAGGACCTGAAGAAAAACTTGCTGCCAGAGAAGGACATTTTGAAGGATTTGTTGGCTGGGAGAGGTATCTCTGGAATCCCCTTCCCAGATCTTTCTTGAAGATTCGAAAAATATTAGGGCCATGGGGACACAGAAGGTAAGAATGATACAATTGCCAGTTATTTTTGCATAGTTGGGATACACTCTGAAAGGCAAACCGCGGTGGTGATTGCTGTGTTCTGTTTTATTCTGTCACCTAGCCATTTCCAGGCCTTTCGTGTCCTCTCCAGCCTGCAGTGCTAGTTTCACCAGTTCTCTTTGAATTTCACATCCCATAAAGGATTTATTCCAGCTCCATCACCTTCGTGTCTCAGGGAAAGTCACCTGTAGAAGTTGTGTTTGTTTCTCAGGTTCATTTTACGTAATTACACTCTACCGGCTGTGAGCCGGTCCGGCGCACAGGGGATCAGGGGCTGCTCGGTCGCAGTGATTACAAATGTGGGTCCAGGCACAGTATGAAGATTCTCTGGAAGGTTAGGCCTTGAAGAGGCCTGAGATTGGTTTGGGGGGCTGGTGTCCAGCCACCTGTTCATGACCTATGGGATTTTCTGTATGCTAAGGAGAGAATTTCCGTTGTCCTTCCTAGTGTGGTTGTGATTGTGAGTACACGATGCCGTGACATATTATTGTGTATTATGTATGCAGTACTTATAGGGAGAAAGGCGTTTTCATTAAGGTAAACTTATTTGAAAATAAAGGAAGATAAGAGAAGGGATGGAAAAATGGAAAGGAAGACGAGAAGGCCCTGAGGATAGCATGACGGGGGAAGAGGCTTTCACTAGAGAAGAGTTAGCAGAGCTGGGCACTGGCGGGGCCTGGGGGCCCTACACTCAGTTGCCTGGGAGGCGAGGTCAGTTTGGGCAACTGAAATTCTCGGCCTGTCGCTCTTATCTGAGGCGAGAAGGAGCTTAGGGAGCGCTGGGGACGTGGCGGGTGGACTGGAGATAACACCCACGGGACCACCCCTGGCAGCCGAGCGAGCCGACTGGGTGATCTCTGCCCGCTCCCCCAGGAGCGCCTCGTGCGTGTTGGGCTGGGCGCGAACCTGTGCTCCCCCCTGCTGGGTGGGGGCGGCAGTGCAACACCGGGGAAGCGCAGAATTTCAGTGGGGCGCGGACACGCGGGGAGGGGCTGCGGGTACATGGTCTCGGGAGAGCCGCGCGGCGGGGCAGACGCGTGGGCACTGCCCGGGGTGCCCGGGGAATGGGTACCGGCGAGGCTGCGCGCGTCCGCCGCCTCCAGAATAACCTGTTCTTAAGAATTTAAATCTGTCTTCCCCGCTGCGCTCCCAAGCTCTTTCCCTCCTCCGTGAACTTCTGCTGGCTTTTACCTGGAACGGGTTTTTGTTGATTTTTTTTTTTTTTTTTTAATCCTCACCTGAGGGTATTTTTCAATTGCTTTTCGGAGAGAGGGAGGGGGAGGGAGGGAGAGAGGGAGAGAGAGAGAGAGAGAGAGAGAGAGAGAGAGAGAGACACAGAGAGAGAGACAGAGAGAGAGAGAGACAGAGAGACAGAGAGAGACGGTGATTGGCTGCCTCCCCTACGTGCCCCAACTGGGGCCAGGCCTCGAGCCTTGGACGGAGGTATGTGCCCTGGGCTGGGATCCAACCCCGGACCCTTCAGTCCGAGGGTCGGGTCGGAGGGTCGGGTCGAGGACCTAACCACTGAGCAACTGGCTGGGGCCCTGGGGCAGTGTTTTGAATTCCAAACTGATGAACTCAGTTCCTCTTAACTTTTTCCTTCCCAAATTTTCTTGCTCCTTTTCCCAAGTTTACTCTACATGCTTGTCCAATATTTCCAAATTCGGTCTTAAGTGATAATCTATTCTTTTGTGTTCCCATTCATTACCTAAATCTCATTAAGTTCTTGTTCTTTTCGCGCCACTCATAGGACAAGCTATCGAAATACAGCTCCTTAATTGACGAGATAATTATCAAGAGTTTTAAGTACTGTTTTTCCCCACCCTACCGCCCCAGGTCACCGCACCTCTGGTCTTTGCCATCACCATTGCTGTAATAGGCTCTTTCCAGTTTGGCTACAACACTGGAGTCATCAATGCCCCTGAGGCGGTGAGTACCAGGCAACTAGGGTTAGACTTTGGAATAGGGAAATCATTTCTTTAAGTGGGGTTTCAAGAATTAAGAATGTCAGACAAACTTGGTATCTAGCTTGGCTAAGAATGAAGAGGGAGAATAGTATGGGTGGGGAAGTCAACTTGAATCATTAAAACAAAATTCAGTTGCTTCCTATATCCTGCACTGTACCCATTCTTCCTCTCACCCTACCGAGATAGGCTTCCTTTATTACTTCTTAGGGGTTAGTTACAAAGAAAGGAGAAGGCTCTTGGGAGAGGGTTGGGTACTCAGTGCATATCAGTGCTACTACCTCCTGGGATTTCTGGAACAAATAAAGTTCCTTTTCGAGTAACATTAACTCCAATATGTTACCTCTCTCTCCCATTCCCATCTAGTCTTTCCCTTGGTTCTCTGCCTATAAAGCAGTACAGTAACTGTAATGTTGTGCTCTAAGGGAAGGGAAGACCCCAATATGTGTCTCTCTTCTCATCCAACTGTAACAGTCTGCCCTCCCACCAACCATTTTAATTTTCAGCTCATAACGGACTTTATCAACTACACTTTGGAAGAGACCTTAGAAAACCCTCCCACCGAAGTGTTGCTAACATCCCTCTGGTCCTTGTCTGTGGCCATCTTCTCCGTTGGTGGCATGATTGGATCCTTTTCCGTTGGACTCTTTGTCAACCGCTTTGGCAGGTATTGACCAGAACCTGGACAAGGAAGGGGGGCTGTTCTGGTTGCACTGAGGACAGATATTGAGAACTGGGATGGGACAGTGATGACACATTTGAATGAGAACACCTCAAATTCTGGTCAAGGGAAACCTAGTCCAGTTGGCCAGAACATGACTGACCACTGTCGCTTGGGCTGTACGCCCTGCATAGCTTCCATCCAGCCAGCACGAGATGGGCCAGGTTAAGCTAATTCCATTTTCCAGTGAAGTTCACTATGGAGTTTCCCAGAAACATATTTTATTTACAAGGTCAGTTGTTTGCTTTTCTTTAAAATTTGGGGGTTTTATGCAAATGTCTTCATTATTTTACACTGCAGGATAGGGAGGAAATATTTTGTGATACTCAGTCTTTGGCAAATGTAGATAATGGCCATGTAACTAAGCTGAAATGATTTTTTCCAGAAAAAAGAAAATTTTATCTTCTCACCCTATGTTGCCTTAGTAAAATAAATGTCTTAGAAGGTAGAATACTTTCAATAATCACTAGTAAAAGAACCATTTAGTTTGCTAATTAGATGTTCTGCAAATGTAAATGGAATTCAAGTTTTTTAATAAGTGAAAGCAACTTATTTGATAATGTTCGCTTTTTTATTTGTTTTTGTTTTTGAAGGCATTATAATTTTAAAGTTCCCAGTGCCAGGCCAGGACCTCTGTATCGGTATTTTATAAACTCCCCAAGTAATTTCAATGGGCCACCTAAGTTGAGAGTCACTGTTGAGGTTCCTGGTGCTGGTTCTTCCCAAAGCTTTAGTAACTTTTCAGTGTTAATCTTTTATCAGCTGTTTCAGTGGCTCTACCTGCCACATTTTTGTACATAAATTCGGTAATTTATTACTTGATACTGATTGTTAATGACATCACCACAGTCCAACCTAGAGGACTGTGTTCATGGACCAGCTATAAATACAACAGAATTGCCTAGGGCAGTAGTTCTCAAATTTGAGCTTGCACCAAATCATCTGGAGGGCTTTTTAGAACACAGATTGTTAGGCCCCACCTCAGAGTCAAACCTAATGATTTGATAAATCTGGGGTAGGATAATTTTAATTTCTGGCAAATATCTACCCAAATCTGTTTGTGGACTGCTTTTAGAACTACTAGCCTAAAGTACTTGCTAAAACCTTACCCTTTGCAACTCATGGATAGACCTGTAGCGCATTTTGCTAAGTGAAATAAGCCAGTCAGAAAGACAGTACCATATGATTTCACTTATATGTGGAATCTAATGAGCAAATGAACAAACAAAATAGAAACAGACTCATAGATACAGAGAATAGACTAACAGCTGTCAGAGGGGACAGGGGTTGCGAGGCTGTGTGGGAAAAGTGAAGGGATTAAGCAAACAACAACAACCAAAATAAAAACTCAGACACAGACAATAGCATGGTGATTACCAGAAGGAAAGAGGTAGGGGGAGGTAGAAGAGAGGGTATGGTGGGATAAATGGTCAACCAAAGAGACTTGCCTTGGAGTGGTGGTTAACACACAGTACAATATACAGGTGATAGAGAATTGTACACCTGAGACCTATATAATTTTATTAACCAATGTTACCCCAATAAATTCAATTAAAAAATAAAGTGCTTGCTAAAATGCTAGAGTACAGCTACAACTTAAAGGAAGAGAATCTTAAACAAGTTCTCTAGGTGAATTTTATGCACATAGAAGTATAAGAACTATTGATCCTGATTATACCAACTAGAAATGTTCTGGTGATAGAAAGTGGAAAAGTTATATCAAAAGAGAAGATGTATGCCCTGTCCAGGTAACTCAGTTGGTTAGAGCATCATCCCAGTATGCCAAGGTTGAGGGTCTGAACCCCAGTCAGGGCTCATACAAGAATCAACCAATGAATGTATAAATAAGTGGAACAGCAAAGTGATGTATGCCCCTTCCCTCATCCCCCACCTCTCTCCCTCTCTCTCTCTAAAAATCAATCAATAAAAAAAATTTTTTTTAAAGAGAGAAGATGTATGAGCTTGAGGGGACAGTATAATGGGTAAAGATAGGGATGGTTTTGCTAACTTGTCTTTGTTTACACTTTCAGACGCAACTCAATGCTTATTGTCAATCTACTGGCTATCATTGGTGGCTGCCTTATGGGATTCTGCAAATTAGCTGAGTCAGTTACAATGCTGATCCTGGGCCGGTTGGTTATTGGCATCTTCTGCGGGCTCTGCACAGGTTTTGTGCCCATGTACATTGGAGAGATCTCTCCTACTGCCTTGCGGGGAGCCTTTGGCACTCTCAACCAGCTGGGCATCGTGATCGGGATTCTGGTGGCCCAGGTACTCTAGAACTTAAACTTAATGAGTGTTAGTTTCAGGGCTCATTAAAAGAATTAATGTAGCTCAATGGTTGAGCATGGACCTATGAACCAGCAGTTTACCGATTTGGGCACATGTCTGGGTTGTGGGCTTGGTCCCCAGTGGGGGGGGGGTGCAGGAGGCAGCTGATCAACGACTCACCATTGACGTTTCTCTCTCTCTCAAATCAATTTAAAAAAAGAAATCTTTAAAAAAAGAATTAACATAGCCCTAGCTGGTGTGGCTCAGTTGGTTGGGTGTTGTCCTGTGCACCAAAATGTTGCCAGTTCGATTCCCGGTCAGGGCATATGCCCGAGTTGTGGGCTCAGTCCCCAATAGGGGGCATGCAAGAGGTAGCTCTCACATTGATATTTCTTTTTCCCTCTCCCTTCCTCTCTCTCTCTAAAAATGAATTTAAAAATAAAAATTTAGAAAAAAAAAATAAAGTACTCAAAAGAATATCTGGCACATATTCGTATTCAGCTGTGTGTAAGCTTCAGGTGTTATCGCTCGCAGACAGCTGAAGAAGCTAGCAGGCAGAGTAGAGAAAGGAAAAGAAACATGTATCTTTTCCTGTGGTAAAAAAAGGGGTAATTTTCTGAACTTTTCTGTTTGTTTCACTCAACTGTGGCCTATAAAGTATGGGATTTATAATATTATCTTTGGTTTCTAGATCTTTGGTCTGAAAGTCATCTTGGGGACTGAAGAACTTTGGCCTGTGCTATTGGGCTTCACCATCCTTCCAGCTCTCCTACAAAGCATAGCCCTTCCATTTTGCCCAGAAAGTCCTAGATTCTTGCTCATTAACAAAAAAGAAGAGGACAATGCTAGGAAGAGTGAGTACCCTTCACATCCTCACTACGGGAACTGTAGGGTGTGGTTTCTTTTAGGGTGAGGATATTGGATCTGTTGTTTGTCATCTCCTCTCCCTGCTCCTCAGAACCCAAGTGAAGTGTTTTCTGACTACTATTAAGTCAGGAACTTTCAACCCCTAAAGAGCCATGTCCAGGGCTTACCTCTGGTGGCTTCTCCCTAGCTGTCCTATGAGGAAAATGGAGTTCAGACAGCACCTTATCTTTCTTCTTTCCTATTGTTCTCCTCACCAGCCCTCCAGCATTTGTGGGGCACCCAGGATGTGACTGAGGACATCCAGGAGATGAAAGATGAGAGTGCTAGGATGGCCCAAGAAAAGCAAGCCACTGTGCTGGAGCTCTTTAGATCACGGAGCTACCAGCAGCCCATCATGATTTCCATCATGCTTCAGCTCTCTCAGCAGCTCTCTGGAATCAACGCTGTGAGTATCAGCTTGGTGTCCACGGTGTCCTCCAATGTCTCATTTAAAACACCTGACCAGAGGTAAATAGCTCACCTTCCTGCACAGAGTCCCTCACAATACTTGCCATGTAGCAGCCACTCAGGAAATGTTGATTATCCAGGTTTGATTTGGTTTTGGTTTTATTTCTCAAAATTATATTTATAGTACGTTTTCCATGTGGGAAAATGAGAAAGTAAATAAAAATGAAAACTCTGTCACCCTTAGTCTTGGAACAGATGGTTAATAATTGTCCTCTTTAGACTTTTTTCAATATGTAGGACAACACAAATTTTTTGACCACTCATTTTTTATTTCCAGCCCTCTCTAACTCTCATCTAACTTCTATGATATCATCAGTGATGATGTAAGCCAAACAACCAGAGTAGATACCTGAGGATTTCTATGCCTTGGCTTTTCTCTAGGACTTGACATCCTAAAATCAGTGTAAAGCCCTGGAGAACAAGTAGGAAATCAAGAGGTCTGGGTGCACACTGGCAACTTCAGACTGAGGCGGCCTTACCATTGTATATACTTTTTACAACTAGGATAGAGACTGTGATAGTTGAGAATGGGGGCACGAAATGGGAAGCTAGTGATTGGCAGGTGGCCCTTATATTCTATGGCAATAGCTTCCTGCTTTTGAGTCTTGGTTGTGGGAAGAGAGTATATTATTATACCTTCTATCCATTTGCAAATAAAGCATTTGGATGGGAAGAACGCCCCGTCCTACCTCTTTATTTTTCTTTTTTCTTTTTCTTTATTGATTTCAGAGAGAGGAAGGGAGGGGGGAGAGAGATAGAAACATCAATGATGAGTCGTCGCCGATCGGCTGCCTCCTGCACGCCCCCGACTGGGGATGGAGTCCGCAACCCAGGCATGTGCCCTGACGGAATAAAACTGCGATCTCCTGGATCCTAGGTCGATGCTCAACCACTGAGCCATGCCTGGCCAGGCTGTCCTCCCTCTCTAAATACTGATTCATTCCCTGACAGTTTCTCATCAGTCTTTGATTGATATGATGAAATCATTTTGTTGCAAAGTATTTTGCAAAACACACTGGATACTCAAAATAGTAAGTTGGTCCTGTTTTTCCACTGCCATGCACAATTGCTGTTTCAAAGTTGCATCTTCTTCTGTTTCCTCCTAGGTGTTCTATTACTCAACAGGAATCTTCCAAGATGCGGGCGTTAAGGAGCCAATCTATCCCACCATTGGTGCGGGTGTGGTTAATACCATCTTTACTGTAGTGTCTGTAAGTTGGATGGTTTGATCATTTTGTGGGGACAGAAGTTAGGGGGAAGAGATATTGAATGGTGGGTATAAGTGGTTTTCACTTTTTTCAAAAATATGGAATAGATGGGAGAGAGGGAGGTTATAGAAGGGCTTATATAGGATATATTAAACTTCGAACTGGAGAAGGGGAAGTGTGACTGTAACAAGTACCCTGCTGTTTTAGGGCAGATTCAGCTAGCTCATGCAGTGTTTTCATGAAAAGGAAAGCAGAAGTGTCATGTTATATTCTTCTTTTAGCTGTTTCTGGTGGAAAGGGCTGGAAGGAGGACTCTACATATGATTGGCCTTGGAGGGATGGCATTTTGTTCCATCCTCATGACTATTTCCTTGTTATTAAAGGTGAGTGCTCTTTGATTGAAGAAAAGGGAGGGGAGAGGGGAGGAGACATTAGAGTTGATGCTCTGTGATGGGTGAATAGTTGAGACTGGAGATTGCGTAAGTCAGATTTGGGAGAAGCAGCATGCCCAGAGTTTTAAGAAAAGTAGATCACTATAGATGGGTAATTAAATTGCTATAATCCTTACATCTATATAACATATAGCTTGTAAAATACATTATGTAATTTAATTCTTTTTGTTTGTTTGTTTTTGCTTTGTTTTTATTGATTTCAGAGAGAGGAAGGGAGAGAGGGAGAGAGAGATAGAAACATCAATGATGAGAGAGAATCATTGACCGACTGCCTCCTTCACATCCTGTATTGGGGATTGAGCCCGCAACCCTGACATGTGCCCTGACCGGGAATCGAACCATGACCTTCAAGTTCATGGGTTGATGCTCAACCACTGAGCCACACCAGTCAGGTTGTAGTTTAATTCTCAAAATAATATTGAGACAATTATTTCCATTTTACAATGGATGAAATGATCTCAGTAAAAATGATATGTATGTAATCACATAGCTAGCATTAAAAAAACCCAACATTTTTTACTCTAAATCCAGTAACTCCATTATACCCCAAGACAGAAGAAGCCTTTCCGTTCAGTCAGTACTCATCTCTGAGAAGCTGGGTCCTGCCTAGGTCATGCTGTCTTTAATATAGGTCATGCTGTGCCCCGCTGGCATTGCTCAGCTGTTGAGCATCAACCTATGATCCAGGAAATTGCAGTTCGATTGCCAGTCAGGGCACATGCCCGGGTTGCGGGCTCCATCCCCAGTAGGGGGTGTGCAGGAGGCAGCCGATCAATGACGACTCTCTCATCATTGATGTTTCTGTCTCTCTCTCCCTTTCCCTTCCTCTCTCTGAAATCAATAAAGACATATATATATTTTTTAAATTAACTTTCCTCTGTTCCTCCCTCATATAGGATGAGTATAGCTGGATGACCTATGTTTGCATTGGGGCTATCATGGTGTTTGTGGCCTTCTTTGAAATTGGCCCAGGCCCCATTCCCTGGTTTATTGTGGCCGAACTCTTCAGCCAGGGACCCCGCCCAGCTGCAATGGCAGTGGCTGGTTGTTCCAACTGGACCTCCAACTTTTTGGTTGGACTGCTCTTCCCTTCAGCTGCAGTAAGTATATTAAAGCAAAACTCACCTAGCCCATCTTGAAACCAGCCCACTTAAGCCTAATGTTTACAATATGATTACTGACACCACGAAGGATTATATCTCAAGAGGTTTAAACTAGATATTTTCCCGCTCTTTTCTAATGACATATAGAAAAAGAATGACAGCAGAAAAGACTGAAGTGGGAGTGTAAAACTGGGAACTTTTAAAAGACCACTGGTCTGAAATGATATAGGCACATTTCCGACTAGGAACAGAATGATAGTGACAAGCCAAGCCTCAAAGGTTTTCAAACCAGTACTTAAAGTCCATCATTTGAACTAGCATTTTGACTTCATGATCATAAAGGCTCACTAAGCATAGGATGTTAAGGAATGAGGTGGGCTCTATTATAAAATGACCTGGAGCTGATTTGGATAAAGGAACTTGGAGTGGACATCTGCCATGCCTTTCCTATTTCTGTGAGTCTTTCATAAACCTAGATTCTAACAGTGATCACCAAAAATCCTAAAATACTCAGTAGGTACTTAGAAGCAGCTTACTTCAGTGAACAGGGAGAGGAGTGACACAAAATTGCAGAGAAATACAATAAGTTAGCATTGGAATTGTAAACGAGTCTCTGAGGAAACTTTACTATTTTCAGTACATTTGGAGGTGTTATGGCTTGAAGTCTGTTGGGAATATGGATTTGAAGGAAACGAGTTTATCAGTGATCAGATTTTTATATCAACCCTCCCTTTTTTGTATCCTTTGTAGTTCTATTTAGGAGCCTACGTTTTCATTGTCTTCACCGGCTTCCTCGTGATCTTCTTGGTCTTCACCTTCTTTAAAGTCCCTGAGACCCGGGGCAGGACTTTTGAGGATATTACACGAGCCTTCGAAGGGAAGGCACAGGGGGCTGCTAGAGCTGAGAAAGGCCCTGCCGTGGAGATGAACAGTATCCAGCCTGACAAGGAGGCCACCACCAACGTCTAAGCCATGCTTCTTCCCACCTCCCTCCCGACATGAAAAAGCCACCTCTCCCTGAGCGGGAGAGACCTCATCAGGTTGTAACCCAGGACTGTTCTGAATGCTGCTGCTCGTTCGACTCCTTTCTCAGCCCACACTCCACGAGCACTCAGAGGCCCCCAGTGCTGGGCTTAGTTGTATCTTCAGTGGCTTTTTAACATTTCATTTCTTGGACATTCTCTTCCGATTAGGAGAGACCAAGTGAACCTACCTTCAGTTCAGGAGGGATTGGCTACTTGGCATTTGACAATTCTGCCCGCCCTTCCTCCCTTAAGTTCTAATATTGCGTCCTGAGGGCACGTAGGGGAGAGAGTTCCCCCCACCTCAGTCTCACCAGGGAGCAGATAGATATACGTGAGAGTGTGGAGGGCAGAGAGGATTACACACGAGCACCTTCCTTGCCCCCATACCGCTCTGCAGAGCAAATTAATTTGAGTTTTATTTATTTTATCTTCTGGTTTTATTGCATAAATATTTATTTTTTTAAGTGTAATTTTACCAAATAATGAAAACATAAGGAAATTGAGGTTAGAGGGAGGTACTGAAAGAGTTTATAGGGTGGAAGATTTGATACTAGAGAGGTTTATAGTTTAATAAAGGAAGATTTAGGCAGAAATGTAGTGTGTTATTGGAGGGTATATGATGTGGTGTGTGAGGTTTGTAGGTTGCCTCTTAACAATTTCTGTCTTTCAGATGGAAATTCTCAAGTTCAATTTCTCAGAAAAGTCATGTGCCTGTATAAAGAAGCTACTGGTTTCCTTAGGAACTTTTTTCTTTAAGATTACATGTAGTATTACTTGAAATCTAGGATTATTACTAAGATGGGCATTGTAGTTAATGGTGATTGATGGGTTCTGATTTTGGATGGAGTCCAGAGAAGGGAAGGTTGTTTGTAGAAATTGATTCTTTTTTCCTCCGCACTGGACCAAACAACTTCTTCCTCTTATAGTGGACTCGTGGTTTTTTTGTGGTTTTCTTTTTTTTTTTAAGTGCTCCTACCACTGGTGGGAGAGCAACCTAAAAGATTGGTTCTTGGTAAAGTTTTGTTTTTTCTCCATTTTGTTCTTTAGGATATTTTAGATGTTTAGATTTTTTAAATTTTGGTTTAAGCCATAGCTTTAAAAGAATTTAGAGGAGAGTGTGCATAGCTAACTTGGAATTTGTAACCTCAGTACTGGGAGAGGATTTTTCCTGAATGACTGTTACCTAGTTGAAGTATGTTATTGCTTTAGGGTCAGCCCATGCCTGTTTTTGTCTGTTTCCATGTCAAGTTACTCCTGTTATCATGTTACCATAGTATTATGTCAAGTGCCCTAAGGGCACCTGACTCTTTCCCATAGACCACTTTGAGATAGTATGAGTAAATGTGCAGTGTAGCCCACACTTGAGAGTATGAATGTATGTGCACTGTCACTTTGCTCTGGGTGGAAGTAGTTTATTGGTAACTTGTTTCCTCTATGATCCTACGGTGCCGCCTTTTGGATTGGAATGTGTTAAAACTCATCTCTGTATATAAGTAACACTGCCTCTGCTGGGTGGGATTCGCATCTGTGGCTTTCTTCCTAACCGTGTAGAGGACTCTGCCTCCCTCTAGGCTCAGACAGTGGGAGTAGGAGAGTGTGAAATCAGGACATGGGGCCTCCTAGGGGAGCTGGAGGGAATTCATGGGGGAGAGGGAGGCATTCTTTTCAGGGGGATAAGAAACACACCGAAGACTTGTAACTGGAAAGTTTCCAAGAGTTAGATGAGATGGAGGTATTTACACTTGCCGTAAGTCACAGACACCTCCACCATCTAGTTTCCCAGTATTTGTATAAATGGAGATAAAACCCCAGTGACACCCTCTCCCTTTTTCATACGTTGCTTGACCTCCCTTCCCTCCTTGGTGCTTATACATTTGAGGCCCTTTAGCCAAATCCTTGCCTATGACAATATTTTAGTTCTCAGTTCTTACCATTCCCTCTGGTTGTTGAGCCTATGGATAAAAACTCAGAGCTATGACATGGGGCTTTGCTGGGACAGGTGACTTTCTTCCAACTGCACCTCCACTTCTGGCTCCTCAAAAACTGTGGGTTGGCAGTAACAGTGTGGAAGTTTTCCCTTTTCTCAGTGACCAGATTGTGAATATTTCCAAATAGGTTTTATATTATTAATGTTTCTGTGGTTCTCTTTGTTTTGAAATAAAAATTCTGAATGTACATATGATTTCACCGGGTTGTTTTTTGTTTTGTTTTGTTTTTGTCCTTCCTCTAACAAGATCGCTTTAAATCCTGGTTTGGCCATTCAGTACCTGTTGTAACCTTGAGTTAGTTTCTTATAAGACCATCTTGGATATATGAAAAGAGCAATCCTGGTTTGTTATGCATTTGAAATGAAAACATCTTAGTGCATTGCTTTGCATAGTTAACAAATTATGTTGCTTTCTTTCCCCAGTGAATTCTTCTGTTTTTCTCTCTCATGCTCTTTCCCACTTTCTTTTTCCTTCAGTCTTTGATTACTAAAAGTCATCCTACACTGATGTCAGGGCATCCATATAATATATCACTATCCTACATAAAATCCTTCAGTAGCTCCCGATCAACTACGGGAGGAAAACTGAAGCCCATAGTGGGCACAATGACTCCAGCGCCCATAGTGGGCACAATGACTCCAGCGCAAGGTCCCTGCTGCCTTTCTGTTTGTTTGATCATTTCCTAGCTCCCAGTTATATAAGAAACACCTCACACCCACTACAGCACCATTAACATCTCCATGCCTTCGTTTATGTAGTCTGGACACTCCCCTGTTTTCATTCACTTACTAGAGATATTTGAATGGCTTTTTATTTTATTTCCGCTCAGCCCAAGCATGAGCTCCACATAGCCTTCCTTACCCCCAACATAACCCTGACGCTGCGGTACTCCATGTTAGAGGGAATGAAGAAATGAACTGCCCCACTGTCCGGAAGAGCCTCAGTGAGGATGCCATAGTCTTCGTAACTGTGGCTGTCTTCACTCTCTTTTCACACCTTTGTTTCCTTATAGCTCATTCTCTAGATAACCAGAGAACTTCTAAAAATCAGAACACGCCACTCCGCTTAAAGCCTTCCACTTATATCTTGTCACACTTAAATAGTATACAGACTCCAAAATAGTATCCAGACTCCCTTTACTGTGGCTTGTAAATTGGGTGATTGTAAGCCCCAGTTTACTCCTATCACCCTGGTGTAACTTTTAGTATACTGCATTTATTTGTTCTCAAAACTGCCCTGGCAGCAAGATATGGTTACCTGCCTATAAGGTTTGCTGCTTCAACTCCATCTCTTGTTCTCTTTGCTCACTGAAGTCTAGCCCCACTGATCTTTCTAGTTCTCATACACATCAAGTTCATTATCACTTAAGGTCTTCACACTTGTCCCTTTATGCTTGGAATATTCTGCCTCAAAATTTTGCATGGCTGAGTCTATCCCGTGAGTTAGGGCTTAGTTAACAACCTCTGTAGAATGCAAGCTCCATAAAGGCAAGTACCTTGTCTGTCTTGTTCATGCCTACAACACTGCCTGACATATATCTGATGTTTATTAAGTGTATCAGTCTGGCTCCTATCTGAAGACAGAAATCACACATTGATTTAAACAGAACATTTACTCTAAAGAATATCAAGCTCTAATAAGAGTAAGTAAAATATAAAAGATGTAAGAGAACTCAATATGGCACCCAGGAACTGGGGAGAGTATCCACCTAAGGACAAGCTTGGAAAGGAAGGTCACTTCCCAAATGCAGAGGTTCAGATCTTATTAGAAAAGGCATAGTTGCAGTCCACTACACAGCAGAGACATTGGCTGGATTGCACAAGCCAGAGCTGGTGAGCATACCCCAGGCAAGCAGAAGGCAATGCCTCAGGGGAGCCACAACTGGTAGTCAAATATGTGTTCAGGAGTCAGGACACCAATATGGGTGGGAGGCCTGGGGCCTTGTGGAAGTGATGGCCAGACCTGGGCTGGGGCTGTGTGAGGTGTCTGGGAGAGCTTGCTTTCTGGGTGTATGGCTGGGGCAGGGGACCACCCACGGTCCTGTCATCTTCACCTGTGGTATAGCCACTGGAACCAGCAGGAGAAATCTTCCTCCTCCAACGTCCAGTACCATACACAGCGAAAACTTCACTGTGCTTAACATGCTAAATACGAAATGACTTAAAGGAATTCTATCTATTACCACCAAGCAGGTACTGAAAGATAAATTTGGAGCTGAGAGGCAACAGATAACTAGGGCAATAATTGTTAGCTGGCTGGCTGGCTGAAGTGGTCCTTGGTTGAAAGACTTCCTCCTTCCACACCTCCCAAAGCCACCTGGATTTGAAATAAAATTTCAGTTGAAACGTCTCACTTTTTTTTCTTTTTTTTGCACCAAAAGTGTTTGCTGCAAAAATTTGGCCAAAGTTCCAGCTAGGTGGCTCCAGCAGCTGAGGCTGGGCAGCGGGTCCGCTCAAAGCTAGCCGGGGGGACAGGGAAAGGCAGGGGACGGCGTCAGCCTGGAGCAGGCCGCCCGCGAGCCCGAGCTCACCGGCTCCGGCCCTGCGCGGTCCCCACCGCCTTCCCCTGTCGCGTGGACAACCTCTCGGGGTCTGCTCCCGAAGAGCCGCACCAGTGAGTCACCCAGCATCACATCTGCGTCCCGGATGCCGG